AAAAAAAACCCACACACATCTGCATCTGTTTTTACTGCTGCTGAGACTACAGTAATTCTAATGCACAGGACGCATTCACTTCACTGTAGGTGTGTTAGCAGGTGTGTAATTTTTAAGTATGGTTCTTGCAAGCTCAGCTGGTTCATTTCAAGATCTCCACCATGCGACAACCTGTGTGTTGTGTTTGCTCGGATACACTAACCTCCTCACAACGAAAGCAGCCAAGCATCTGAAATATTTAAACCATGCCGACCTGTCTGCCTGAGAAACTCACCTTTACAATATCTATGGAGATACAGTAAAAGCATACACAAATCATCACGCACGTAAATGACAAACAATACGTGTTTATTGTTGGCGTGTCATCACTTACTCTGCTTGCCTGCAGGTGCCACTGAGTGGTTTCTCCCAACTTTTTTTCCAAGGAAGGTCAGAGAGTAAGATCCACTCGCTGTTCCAGAGGAGTTCAAATACATTGTGTATTTAACTCTGTTCTCTTCTGCTTGAGTGTTGGGTCGATGAAATACAGCACTTGAAACGGGATCAGTCCAAAATCTGCAGAGAAAAGAAAGTTAAAATCCTTCTGAAGCCTAAACAGATGAGAATACTATGCAGTCACTTGACGAAAAATGTTTCAATCATGTTATGAAACCTCGTTTAACCTTCTTATTATTTGCAGATGAGATAAAGCTCCCACGCTCGAGTTCACCCAGGGAGTGTAATTTGTTTCACAGCCTCTTCCAGCTGCAAACTACCAAGAAGAAAATCTAAAATTCTCGAGCTTTCAAATGAGTTTTTCCACTTTTCTTTAGTTTTGCTAATTTGAAACAGCTCCTTTTAAGTCACAAATTAGATAAATCAATTGGTAAAATACTTGGAAGACCAAATCAAAAAAGTTGGTTTGGCTGTTGAACCATTACTATTGCAAGGAAATAAAAACTCAAACACATATCTAACAGTAGTACCTGGTTCTGGGAGCTGATCGGACCCTCTCAGTGTGCCTCAGTGGAGTTTGGGTGCCCTTGTGCATCAGAATGAAAAGGATGAGTTGATCCTGATCTCTAAGGGGAACCAAACTCTAAACAGTCTTTAAATATTAAACCTGCAGAGATGGAGTTTCACCAGGTGCTGGCTTCAAATCCTAACAGTAGAAAGATGCTCCACACGCTCCTTAGGTTTCCTGTGTGTAAGATAGAGATTGTAACTGAATGAACTGAATGCTTTATTGCGCTCACAGTTTGTTCTCGTTCACTTTAGTTGCTTGTTTTCATCAGTTTTCCTAGAAAACCCACACTTCCCTCAATTGCTGCACTTTATTTAAACCTGTCTAAAGCTTTTGACACCGTGGATCATAACATCTTGTGTCATAAGCTCTCAGAAATTGGTTTCTCAGATCATACCATTGGTTGGTTCTCTAACTATCTCTCAGATCAGAGACAATGTGTTCAACATAATGGTACTTCTTCCATTTATTTAACAGTTAACAATGGTGTACCACAAGGCTCAGGCTTAGGGCCCACCCTCTTCACAGTCTACATAGGTAATGTAGGTCAGACCATCCCTGATGCATTCTTACATTTTAATGCTGATACAGTTGTTTATTGTTGAGCTAAAACAGTTGCTAAGGTTTTCCAGCTTTGCAATCCACATTGACAACATCCATTCAGATTTGTTCCGTCTCAAACTGGTCCTAAACACAGACAAACCAAAGGGATGTTGTTTTCAAAAAGGAAGTCGATCCCAGCAGTTCTTCCTTCAATTTTATCCTCGAATGGTGCTCCTACTGAGTTTGTCGATTCCTACAGCACTTTGGCCAGCGGTGTTAAATAAAGTTGTATTGTATTGTACAAATATTTGGGCATCTTGGTCGAGTCACTTTTTTTTAAAAGTCCCACGTGGAAAATTTGGTTAGAAAACTGAAAGTAAAACTGGGTTTCTTTTTCTGAAACAGATCCTGTCTAACTCTGAATGCTAGGAAACACCTCGTAACTGTGACTTTCATTCCCTCCAGTGACTATGGTGACATTATTTACATGACTGTATTATTTTGTACATTATTTACATGAACGCTCCTACAAGCACCTTGCAGATGTTGGATGTTGTCTATCACGGTGCGCGAAGATTCATAAGCCCAGGCCTCCCTTGCAAAATAGATCTGTGATCTCAATGGGATTTGCCTGATTAAGTAAATGTTAATAATAATAACTGGCTGTTACTACCGTACCCACCACTGCACCCTGTATTCACTGGTTAACTGGACATCATTAACTTCATGCAGACTCTCCCACTGGTACATTTTCATCTTTAAATCACTTCTTGGTCTGTTGCCTTCATACATCTCCTCCAATCAATCAATCAATCAATCAATCAATCAATCAATCAATTCAACTTTATTGTACATAACATTCAATGAAATGGAGATTTGTCTTTGACATCTGGCTTATAAAAACAAAATGAAAATGTGATTAAAAAACTTAAAAAACTTTAAAACCAAGGCTAAATCGATTAAAAACATGCAGTTAAAACCATTCTACAGTGCACTATACATTAAAATATGGAAACATCCCAGCAGACAGTGGTTTGTTATGTGAGGCTGCGTTTAAATAGTACATTCACTGCAGAGGGAACAAATGACTTTTTGTACCCATTTCTCTTTGCTAAAGGAACCAACAGTCTTCTACCAGATGGTACCAACCTGAACAATGATTGCAGTGGATGAGCTGGGTCATTGTAAACCTGTATTGCCTTTTTTTCCAGAACCTGACTGTACAGGTCTGTAAGTGTCATTTGTTGATGACCAATGACTTTACTTTATGTCTCTGCACGAGTGCAGCTACAGCGTGCGCTCTCAGGACATTATTACATGCAGTGTCCCCTCAGTGAGGACTGAACTAGACAAAAGGACCTTCTCCTACTCTGCTCCTGTTTCCTGGAACATCCTGCAAAAAGAGTTGAAGCTCTCAACCTTGACCTCTCTGAGTGATTTCAAACATCTGCTAAGTTCCTGGCAAGAACCAATGCAGACATGTTCCTGTTTTTAGTTTTCTACACCGCCTTACAACCTAGCTATTTTTTCCCCATTTTCTTTCATTTGTTCTTCTCAATTAGTTTGCTTGCTTTGATGATTGTCTACTGTTATCTTTGCTGTCTACTGTTGTTAAAACAGGTTTCTCTTGTAAATGAGGCCCTGAGGCTCAATGAGACTAACCTGTATAAATAAAGGTTGAATGAATGAAAAAATGGCGAAGGTCTAGGGAATGCAGCTAAAATAGGTAAATTATTACAGTTTTTACTGTGAAACGAGGACGCAGAAGCAATATTTTAATACAAAAACATGTCTACATTCTTCCAAAAGGTGCAATGAATGTATACAGTCAATGCCATGGTCAGTGCTGCATCGCCTGCTTCTCACTAATGCTGCTCTCTGTTGTTGTGTTTTTCCTGGCCAAGCTCTTCTTTGAGGATTTCCTACTTTTTGTGAGCCAAGAGAACTGTTTGGAACATTTGGTCTACAGCTTGGGCATCTGTTTAACACACCTTACCTAAAAGTAAATCCTCTTATGATGCCACTTTAATGAAAAAAAAAAGATATGCCTGCTTACTCCTATATTTAAGCTGTTGCTTTGTCAAATGTGGCATTTCCAGAAAATAACTCCTGAAAGTACAAGTCCTAACAGAGAAAGGTTTTCCAGTTCAAGGAGGCACTGAAACATTGTAAAGTTTGATTGTTAGCACAATGACGAGGTCTGACTGTGTTGAAATACCGGTAATGTTGTCAACCAAATGCATCACTGACTGTTAATCACCACTGTGTGAAAGTATTTACCCTCTGTACATGTAGATGTTTCAGCTGTCCGTCTCACCGGTTATAACAAAAGAAAGCCACACCTTAAAGGAACGTTTTTATCTCATTAAATCAACGCCAGACTCTCTCAAGGAATCTGAGGTTATCTGTGCTCATCAAATTGAACTGTGACCTTGTGACATAAGGTGACATCCGACTGAATGGATTGTGATGTGTTTAAAGTCATCCCTGATAACATTTGGCTATGAGAGCAATACACAGGAATGTCTGATGTGTTTTTTTTTTAATAGAAACTTCATTTTCCCATCAAGGCAAAAAACAAAATAACAAAAAGATAATTTTAATATTTTAGATGGAGGCGGTGCATTTTTTCGAAGTTCAACACAATCTGAATATAAAAACCTATCTAAATATTTTTTCTGTAAATACCACCCAAAAAATATTACTTTAAAGAATCGTTCTTGAATTGTTCTTCACTTAGGCCATTTTGAAAGGGACTCCAAACGTTAATTGGTTGTAAATGTTCATTAAGTGATAACTTTCAATTTTCAAACCTGTTGGACTCCTGGCAAGGACTAATGCAGACATGTTCCTATTTTTAGTTTTCTACATTCGCCTAATAATCTAGCTGTTTTTGTTACTTTTTTTGCCATCCTATTTGTAAAAAAAAATCTATGCCTTTTTATATTTGTCTATTGTTGTTGCTGTTGTCCATTGTTGTCGTCATTCTTTGTTGTAATCAGGTCTCTCTTGTAAATGAGTCCTAGAGGCTCAATGGGATTTACCTGTCTAAAAAAAGGTTGAATGAATTTCTGAGGCATGCATTAAAATACACCTAATGGTTAATGTGGTATGTTGCAAAGGACAAACATGAGCACACTCACACATGGGCAACGACATTATCTGATAAAAACATGCATGTAGCCTATATTAAAAACGTGTTTCATGAAGTCTTAAAGTACTCGTATGAAGGATATCTTTGTGATTTTCTATAAGATCACAATTTTTATGAAAGATTAGGAGCTGGCATGATGAAAGTGCTTCAGTAAGACGAGTGGCCTTTAAGAAATCCTGCTGGAGAAACAGTCTGAACTCTGAAATGTGCAGCGTGATGCATAACAGAAGCTCAGCCCATCTGCAGCCACGGAGGAGGGTGGGTTGGACCCGTTACTAGGTGTGGTTAGCTGGTATTTAAAACCCACTCCGTCAGGCTCCCTGCCTCCTGGAACCAGCACTGAAGACTAACTTCTCTCCTCTCAGGCCACTCGGTGAGTAGTTCTGATTGTTCAAATCTGCGCTCCGAATCTGAGTTTGCTGCTTCAGTTAAGTTTGAACATTAATACTATATTTCTAAGTTATTTCTTTTTTCAAATACTCATGCAACTTTCTGAGGGTGTGGCTGAGAAAACTTTTACACATGTGCATGAATGAAAGTGTTATGGTGGTTTAACTGTATGTTCAGGTTTGCATTCAACCCAGTATCTAACAACAGAAAGAAGACTAACGTGATTCAAACTACAGTATTCTGTGTCCATGCTGTACTGAATGTGGGTGTGGCAGAGCCGACTACTCCATGTTATAATTACTGAATCCTTCCAGTAAACACACAGGGTTTAGTATTTGCTCTCTATTAAAGGATGAATAAAAACAAGTTTCTTTCTTCCGCCATCAAGTTTTAAAGAGAAGAACTTCATGTAGTGTAAAGTTTAAATTAAAAGAAACAATTCCTCACTGTTTGAAAAGTCAATTTTTTTAACGGTACTGATATTTTCTTCTCTAATGTTGTCCTCTCCCCTTTACAGACAGATCCTACAGTCCAACATGGCTAGTGGTAATCTCATCCAGAGCTTCCTGCAGCAAACCATCTATCTGGGCATGGCTGATGATTCAGTACGTAACCCTGCGGTTCTGTTCCAGTTGCTAAGGCCAAACAAACAGTTTTTCTGTTTTTTTGGTCTTCCTCTCGTGGTATGCTGGGGTGGAAAAAGTGATCTGGCAGAGAGAGAGAGAGACGCAGAGAGAGAGAGAGAGAGTGAGGGGATTGAATGAACGAGTTTACAAAAGAAACAAACAAAAAAAAAAGGAAGGAAAAGGAGTGAAGCTGCAAACATAAGATACAATCTGACATTAAAAACAGAGAAAGTGAGACTTGACTGTAAAGTTTATTTGAAATAAGAATGATGGCTGCTCTAAGTCTTAAAAACGTGTGACTCAGAGAGGCAGGAATTTGTGCCCCTCCCTTTATAAACTCTGCAGGCAGAACAAAATTGCACTTCTCTTTTTTCCTCTGCTGCTTAAAGTGAACGAAGGGAAAGTTGCAAAATAAAGTTATCTTGCATGATTTCAGTCTGGGCTCCTAGACTCAGCAGGTTTTGCTCATTTCAGTCAAGCAGGGGCATGTTTAAAGTGCAGTGAAACAGGTTTAAAAAACAAAAAACAAAGACAAAAATGCTTCCCAAAAGAACAGAAAAACTGCTGTGAGCTTCAAGCTGAAAGACTACAGTTGGTGTGATAGGTGAATTTGTTTGCTTCAGCATTAAACCACCTAAAGCATTTGAAAAATGCATTTTGCAACCCTCTTCATACATTCCTCTCAGCAGAAGCCAAACTGTTACTAAACAGTCATCTGTGCCATCTTTTAGGTCCTGAAGAATGAAGGAACAGTGATTGCAGCGCCCAATTTCAACCCCAGTGCAGATGCAGCAGTCCTGGATAAAGCCATCAAAGCAAAGGGTAAGCTTTAAAAAAGGTATGTTTTTTTGGCATGTCAACACCTCCCTTGCTTCTAGAACTAAGGTTCATTCCTTGTGTTAATATGGTGCCTCCCCCTGCTGGCCACTGTGCGTCATTACAGTAAAGAACACCAATGTAAAATTAATAGAAAGCCCATTCTTGTCTCTTTGGTGGCCCCTAATGTCTAGCTAAAACATCATGACAGATTATGTTCAATCACCCTGCAGGTGTGGATGAAAATACCATAATTGAAGTTCTGGTCAAAAGGAGCAACGAGCAGAGACAGAAAATCAAAGAGGTTTACCAACAAACCGCTGGCAAGGTAAGAGTACACAAACATGAGGACAGGAAGGAGATTTACTCTGTAGGTTCTGTTGGACAGGAGTTGTTACTCATATGTGACTGTGACAAAGTGAAGATTTAACACAATCTGCAGGCTTCCTTAGATAGATAACGTTTACTAATAGTTTTTAATAACATACTGTATGAGAATGCTTTTGTACAGTGCTCTGAAATGACTCCTGTTGTGACTTGAGGCTAAATAAATAAACTGAACTGAATTAATTGCACAACTTGAGCCCTACATCTGTTGTCTCCTTGTAGCCGCTTGAGACTGCGCTGAAAAATGCTCTAAAAGGAGATTTGGAGGAGGTGGTGCTTGCTCTGCTGAAAACACCAGCCCACTATGATGCCCAGCTACTGAAACTGGCAATGAAGGTACTAACCCCCCCCACCCACACACACACACACACACACACACACTCCAAAGCAAAACGGATGCATGGTGATTAATGGCCTTATCACGACTTTTATATTTTGTCATGAAACCCACCCACTTCCACACATTCATTCATTGTTTTCCTAATGCTGTCGCTGGAATTGAGTTTGTCAAGATTAAAGGCTTGTTTCTGCACCTCTGTGTCAGGGGCTTGGAACAGACGAGGATACTCTGATCGAGATTCTTGCCTCCAGAAATAACAGGCAGATCCTGGACCTAAAGAAAGCCTACAAGGAAGGTAGGTGCAAACAGAAATGACACTTCCTCAAACCAAGTACGCGTTATTATTAGGAGTAACACATGAGAGAGAGGTGGCAAAACAGCCCGAGGATCTAAAAGATATGCATAACAAGTCAGACTTGACACATATGGTGGACGGTGGGTTGTTGCAGGACCAAAATGCAGCCAAGAAGAAGACTGTATTCAGGAGCTCAGCAGTTTTTTAAAAACAAAACCAAAGCAACACATGAATCAGCAAACATTATTATGAAAGAAGGTGAAAGACAAAACGTTAGAAAAACCAGTGGCATGAGTTGAGACAGCAAAGCACAAAGAAGAGGCCTCACCACAAGACCAGAACTCAACAGAACAGCAAAAACACAGAACAAAACGCAAAAATAATACAAAACAAAAAGATTAAAAAAAGACTAAATGCATAGTTTTTGGTGCATTGTACTAAATCATTACTTTAATTGTTTTTATTCTAAGACTACAAGAAGGAGCTGGAGGAGGACATCAGGTCTGACACCGGTGGAGACTTCAGGGCGGCCCTCCTCGCTCTCTGCAAGGTACACACGTTCATCCACACTTGCTTTCTATCCGTTGTTTGTGAAGTATAACTTATTGTAATTGTCTAAGCAGTCATAGCACCAGGCCTCCAACAAAACACACCCTGCTTTGGGCTTCGAGCGGTTTAAGAAAGATAAACTCACTCCCTTGATACACATGCACATGTACACAAAAAAGGGCATTGAAGATGAGCAAAAGCACAGCACAAACTCAAAATAATAAAATTACAATCAACGTTTCAATATCTATATTACATTCAGGATCATTTTGTTCCTAAAATCTTCTTTTATAATTTTTAATTGGCAATTTATGTAGTTTTCGATTGGACCCATAAAACAAATGAAAGAGTACTTTAATGTAAAACACCTGTTTTGTGGGGGACGGTTTCATTTTAAGACAAACAACTCAACCTTGTGTGTTGCTGCATGCCACAGGCCGGCAGGACTGAAGGAGTTAGTGAGCAGCTGATTGACAGTGATGCCAGGGCTCTGTATGAGGCCGGGGAGGGGAGGAAAGGCACTGACTGCGCCGTCTTCATCGACATCCTGACCACCAGGAGTGCCCTTCATCTTCGCAAAGGTTAGCTAGCTTGCTCACCTCTAGGAATTTACTCTTTTACTATCTGTCATGTGAGATACTCTCTAGTATTTTGTTTTTCTTATTCCAGTATTTGAAAAGTACTCAAAGTACAGCAAAGTGGATGTGGCCAAAGCTATTGACCTGGAGCTGAAAGGCGACATAGAGAACTGTCTCAAAGCCGTCGGTAAAGACCAACTTTTATACTTTTTTATTCAAGTACAAAACCAATAACCTGCCCACTAACAATAATTTTGAACAACTGCCTTAAATCACACAGTGAAATGTGCTGGAAGCAGGCCGGCCTATTTTGCAGAAAGGCTCAACTTGTCCATGAAGGTAAAATATACTTGGTAACCTCTTGCAATTTACTGTATACACTAACAGCATCCCCACTTAAGTCCTGTTATACTCCTTATTATCTATCAGGGTAAAGGTACCCGCACATCTATCCTGACCCGCATCATGGTGAGCCGCTCTGAAATTGATCTGAAAAGGATTAAGGAGGAGTACAAGAAGAGCTACGGCAAAACACTCTACCAGGACATTTTGGTGAGCAGACTTCTGATAAATAAAGATAACAAGATCAGGTGTTCCTTGGTTTCCAAATTAAAAGTGTGAAAAGAAGACAAAGTGTTTGGAGTTTCACTGACCTCTTTGTTCTTTCAGGATGACACTAAAGGAGACTACGAGACGATCCTACTTGCTCTTTGTGGGGGTGATAATTGAAAACCTGTCGTTTGGATCAATGTTTAAAGAAGACAAAGATCCTCCATGATGTCCAGCTGTGGCAAATCACCCATTTTCCCTTGACCCATATTGTGCCTTGTGCAAATGTATTCAACTATCTGTTACAAGAATTAAAACGACTATGATATAACCTTTTGATATTATTAAAAAAGTAAATAACCTCTACTCAGCTCATGAAGTGTGATGTAATGTTCCTCCTGACCGGTGTCTGATGTTGTTTTTCAGGTTGCACAAACTGCAGCTTTCACTTATTCAGCTTTATGGTCAAACACTGGTCCGTTCTGTTGCAGCTTTTTAATCAGTTTACCCTCTTTCTTACCTATTCCATTTCTTAAAACAAACAAACAAACAAACAAAAAAACTTAACGGATTAACTGATAACGATATGCAGGCACATAGATGAAAACTTAAATAAATAAAACAAAAAATGAATTTATTCAGTTTTGTTTGTTGGAAGTAATGAGAATTTATAAATATTAATATTTTGTTGCAGAGAATATTTTATTAAAAATTGGCATAAAACATCATTATTTAAGGAAAACACATTAGCAGCGGGAGACAGCTACTCACTAAATGCATTGTAAAACCAGTAAAAATATATTTATATAAGTACAAGGATAATGAAAAAACTTCACTGTACAGCTTAATAAATTAGTTAATTATTTTAAGTATTAAAATAATTCAAATGTTTTTCTGCTAATCCAAACATCTCACAAATTGGCTTCAAATAGAGAGACAACCATGCAAATAAGCTCACACCTTAGAATCCCAGTTGAGCTAAGAAACAGGTTTTGAGAACCTTCAAGGAAACTTGTCTTCCAGAGATTTGAGACTGGGATGGAGGTTCACCTTCCACTGGGACAAAGACCCTAAACACATGGCTGAAGCAACACTCAGTGGTTTAAGGAGACCCAGTTAAATGTCCTGGAATGGTCCAGTCAAAGCTCAGACCTCACCTCAGTGAAAATCTCTGATATGAATGAAACATTCCTGCACTGTACACAGGGAAGTAGAAAAAGCATCAGTACTGGATTCCACATGTTGATCCCAGCTCATATGCTTTACTGAGATTAAAAGGTTGTGCAAACTGGCAAAGCAAGATTTACAAAAATATAGCCAAAGTAACTAAAAACTCTATGTTGTTATGATAAAATTATTTTTGAACTGTACTGTACAGGAGTCAAGGTATAAAGTGCAAGCATGTACGTTCAATTCATCTTAAAATGTTAAATTTAGGGAGGACAACTGAAGAGAGGATTTCAAAAAGGAAAATATGGAATTCAATAAATTGAACTGTATTATTACTAGAGGGAAATTATAGTGTATTAAGACAAATTCATCAGGTTTGTATAGTTTAAAAAATATTTTAGTTAGAAAGCAGAAACAGTAGAATAGCTCACAGGGAGTGTTCGAAAGACCTATTATGATGAAAAGAGGGCTATGAGGAAAAAACAACTGTTTTTATTTTATTTAACATCTATAACCGGTTTATGAATATTTAAATAAAACGGGGATTTTGAATACGTCAATTTCCACAAGGTGGAAGTATTGTAACTCTAAGGATGTTGCTGTAAAAACCACGAAGAAGAATATCCTGCTGCATGCTCAAACCACGAAGAAGAACGTTGGCGACAGAGCGAAAAACGGGGATTGTCAGTCACCCACAAACAAACCTGGCAACATCAGCTCCCAACTGTCAACAAACCGAGGACACTGCGAGGTGGCTAACGCCGGTAAAACAACTTTCCTTTCTCTATTTTTCAGTAAAAATGCTTCTCGCGACCTTTTCCGAACTACTCTTGTGACTTTTCTCTCGCAATACAGCACCGCAAATAAGAATGAAAAGCCATATAAATGTATTTTAAAACTATTTGTTCACTGCTCTTAGCATAGAGAGCTAGCTCCCCTGTCAGAGCAACTGCTGCAAACCATCAACGGAGCTGACGTAGCGACACAATTTAAATGGTGATAAAGCATCTGTAGCGGTAATATTAACCCAGTAAAACAGCGTTTGACTCAGAGAGGGCCTTTGCTAGTCGGGTAATGTTACAGGTAACTGAGCTGGACAGAGAAGCAGTAAAACTGCAATAAAAGTGCCAGCTTTAATCTAAAGCTGCTAACATGTAGGTGTTCAGCTCATACTACTAGATTCTCTCTCCATCTTACTAACTTTGAGTTATTCACTTCTGTTTCTTCTCTTTCAGGGCAATCAGTCTATCTAACTCAAACAGTTCCTTCACAATCCATCCAAAACTTTGCCAGTGACCTGACCCATGGACCACTGCAGCATCTGCTCAACCCGAGGACTACTTTTGGATGAAGACCATGAATGACAAACTCGTCTTCTTGGGCTTGCTGTACTTTGTCCAAGGCATTCCTTATGGCCTCCAGTCATCTCTGCTTCCTGTTTACCTGCGTGGAGCTGGTCACTCCCTCACCCGCATTGGTTTCACCAAGATCCTCTACTTCCCCTGGGTACTCAAGGTGCTCTGGGCCCCTTTGGTGGACAGGCTTGGCACTAAGCGTCGCTGGCTGGTGGGGACAGTGTCTGGGCTCGCTCTGACATGTCTATCCAGTGCTGCCCTGGCCCCAGAAGCACATATCTGGGGAGTAGCTGGAACGCTGTTGGCTATGAACACCTTGGCTTCTGTTCAGGATATTGCTGTAGATGGAGCTGCAGTCGGGTTATTGAAAGGACGTGGAGAACTGGGGCTGGGCAACACTGCCCAAGTTGTAGGTTATAAGGCTGGATCAGTGTTTGCTGGAGGGGGGCTCCTAGCTGTGATTGATGTTGCTGGATGGGGTTGGATGTTCATGCTGCTGACATTTGTGTATGCAGGAGTGGCTCTGTTTGTGTGGGGGGCCCCTGTGCTGGAGGATGAGAGTATGAGGGGCCAGCAGGTAGATGGCAGCAGGAGGGGTGGGCAGGGAGCTGAAGTTTTAAGACCATGGAAGGTATGGAGGAAGCTGCTGGCAGTTCCTGGCACACCTTGGACAATCCTGTATGTCCTCACATACAAACTGGGTAAGTCTGAATAAAATGTAAACACTCATAAAAAGTGGTGACAGATAGTATATAGTTGTATTTCTTTCTTATGTATATCCTATTCATTATGTTTTTTTTTTTGTCTGATCTTGATAAACTTGCATAGATCATCACCTTAGCTAAAATATGAGAGGTCATAAAAATAAATAAAAGCCAATAGATGCTTTTATCAACAAACCATTAAAAAATTAGATATTATTTATACAATAAAAAAAAGAAACATCAATACATTTTACTTTAACTGGGTGGGAGCTCAAAGATTGGATATATAACCCCCTTACAATAATATTTAATATGCGCCAAACTTTGACACAATCAGAGATCTTGGCTCAAACTTCACAGCTGAATCTGACATAAATCAGTCTTAGAATTGATGGTAATATATTCACATCAAATACTAAATAAATAAATGATCAAAACAGTTGTTTATATGTAATCATTGTTAGATCATATGGAAAACAAACTTTAAATATATGTTGACTCTCAGCAGTCTTTCAGGTCTTGGTATTCTTCACAGGTTGAATGTCAGACAACCTGACTTCCTCATTTGCTTCTGTTGATTTTCTTTTTCTTCGAATATCCAAAGTGTGTCTTCAGTTCAGAACTTAACCATGAATCAACAAAGAAAGTCTGTTTGCCGTACTTCTATTTAGACTTTAAAATCAGGTTCAAATGGTTAAATCCAGGTCTCAGAAAAGGAAGAAAAAGGCTACAAGTGTTTAATTACAAGATTTTCCTAAAGAAAGAATGCACATATTTAATTTTATTTGGTTTTATTTGTTTTTTGTTTGGATATTTGACTGAAAAGTAGAATTTATAAATGCATTTAGTGAAAAAAAAAAGAAAGCCAACAGTTTTCCTGAACGAGTTTTGTCTCACAATAAAATTTCTCCTCTTGTCTTTGTATGGGACATTGAAACCACCATTAGATGTTCAAGACAAAAACTTTTTTGAATTTACCATGTCCTGGATGACTGCGAATATTCACCAGCACCACTAGATGTCACTGTTGATATTACTTTAGTGTTTCCAGTACAGTACTGTATAAAATAGTGAGAGAAGTAGTCGTTCAGTAAATTTCTTTCTGTCCGAGCAGGTCCTGTTTGCACACACAGAATTACACCCACTGAACTAATAAACATTTATTTTTTTAAGTAAAAAATGTATGGCTATTGAATACAAAGTTACTTTTTACTTATTTGAATGCATTATGAGTTTGTGCACACGTTTTGATTCAGAACATGTTGGGTACAACACAAAACTGAATCTTTAAGTATTTAAAAAGTACTCAAGCGTTTATGTGTATGGTAGCAAGAGTTAATATGACCAGAGTTTGGTTTTTGGTAGCAGAAGGGGATTATGTAAGGATTAGAGCGTCTTTGTGTCTGTCGTGATAAGAAACCGAAATGGAAGGAGGTGCGTCCTGCTCGTGTGTGTTTACGTGGGTGTTGGATATAATTGTCTGCTCATATTTGCATGTTACTTGTATATGTGTATGGATGTCTTTGTTTTAAACAGTGTACGTATGAGGGCTGTTTTATAGTGTTAAGAGTGGCTCAGTAATCGGATAATCCCCAGCAGACGACACTACGAGACAAAATATGAAGGCTGGCTGGACCCCCTAATCTGTCTGGGGAGCAACCCCCCCACGACTGAAACAACCACCCATCCCAACACTCTCTCTGTCACCGCAGCTCACACATGGACACACACACACATTGTTGATTCTCATGATTACAGTTATTACTGATAATGTTTCCTGTGCTGTGATTGATATCTTTATTAGCAGTCAGGTCACGTTAGACTCCATACTTATTTAAAATATTTCCTCATTTGTTAAAACAAAAACGAGTTGTTTGCCATTTCTTATTTATTTATTTTCTTAGATTAAACTTGGATGTCCCAGCGTAACTGTCAAATGTGAGACAGTATTGTTTTTGTTCAAGGGGTATGTGGATATGTTTGTGGTAATCTGCCCTGTCTGAACCCCCCCCCCCCCCCACATTCACACACACACACTCACACAGACTTTGCATACTCGCATGCATGATGAGCACAACACCCCCCTCTTTCTCATCTACCACTAATGAACTCTGAGGTAGTGCTGCGTCCAACACTGTGGCCAATCCTTGGCGGCCTTGTGTCTGAACGGTGACCCCCGTGCTATCTGAGGCCACGAGCGAGATGGGTGCACTGTCTGGGCAGACACAGAAAAATAGACGGATGGAAGGGGGGGGGGGGGGGGGCAAAAAAAAAAGGGAAACGAGCCAGGAAAGAGGCTTGAAAATGGTGGCTTTGAGTTAAAAATATGTTTAAATAGATGGAACTGCTTTTCTGTAATCCCAAAATATATTTGGAGAGTAAATGTGTGAACCAGTATATATGAAGCCTTGAATTTTATTTTATAAAGCAGTAGTAGAAACATCAGGGAGATGCCCTCTTGCAGAAGAGCTGAAAGTTTCCTCCGTTAAATGTAGATGAACTCTAATTACAGACTTGTTTATTCTATTCATAAATATTGACGAGCAGTTGTTTAAATGTTTAAAGAAAGCAAACTAAAGAGTAAAAAGTATCAACTTGTAACCTGTCTAAATAACTTTTGATCTTATTTTTGTGCAGTGCGTTAAGTTTTTGGGGTCACTGAAGAACAAGCTCATATTTGTGTGTTCGTGTGAAGTAGTTTAAACATTTGCAGAATATTTTTCCTATTTACTGTAGTTTTTAAAAGTGTGGTGTAAAGCAGTGTATAATAAGGCGTATTGGAAACGTTGTTTGGGGGAAGCTATACTATTTATTTGAACAAGTTGGCCTCTATGAATTGTACTACTTTCCCAAAATCTCAGCTCTTCTTAATTTTAATTTACAGATGTATATTTTAGGTGCAAATAAATTATAGTTGCACATATAGATATATATTTTTTTCTAAAGCTAAGTAGAGAACAAGGTGTTGCACTCTGATGGTGGCTTTCTTTAGTGAAGGAGGGAAGTGTAAGGATGGATGAATAGATCTAATAAACAAAGTTTCATTTTAACACTCTGCTATTATGCTTCTCTGTAAAAAGGCAGCTCTTATTACTTCTTCTAAAACATGCTTTTAAAATACCATAAGCAAAGTGTTGAACGCAGCCTGCATTGTGAGGCAGCGCAGCTCAGTAACAGCATCATCTACGACCTTCTGAATAACCACAGTTTAATCAATGCCTCAACGATTTTAGTACAAACAAAAAACATGAAATATTACATAAAGATGACATTAATTGTGTTGTTCTGCATTTGTCTTAGCAAGTTGGAGAAGCAAGTTTAAAGCATTTTTCAGACAGGAAAAGAAGGACTGCAGTGGGGGGTAGGCATTGAAGTTGTGTATGAATTAATGAACAGCCACCAACCACATGGTGCCTTAAAAAAACAAAAACAAAATTCACATGATCTTTCTAGATCCTACATCCTTTACAGTAAAGCTACACTAAAACAAGTGGTGCGCCGATGTCCCCCTTCCCTGAGTGAGTTGAAGAGTGAATGTTTACTGGTAGTTTTCGAGGGGAGTGTTTTTCCGGACTGGATCTTGAAATGGTAACCCAATTCTCAAAAAGGACCTTTCTTATGCATAGATGAAGCTACACATTAAAATGGAAATGTATAAAGCAGCAACAACCCAATTTTTGATAAGGATACGTGTAGATGTTGCCACACACCAAAATAGAAGCCAGTACCTCATTTATTTTATGCACACAAGACTGACAAACCTTTATGGCAGCAGCCATCCTGAATTCTGACCTTTCTATCAGCAGATCATTTCGAAGGTGGAGCTGTGGTAGCTTGATGGTCAGTGCATTGGTTTTGTAATTCAGAGGCTGCAGGCACCAGGTGCCCAGAGGCTTAATGCAACCTGGGCACCTGGTGAGCCCAGGTTGCATTAAGATCAAGTTTCAAGGTTCTTTATTGTCATTCGCATCACATGAAGCGCACATGGTACATGAGGTGGAACGAAAATGTGTACTCAAGGTCCCAGTTACACCCAAAAAGAGCAAAAATATAAACTATACAAAGAAACAGTATATAAGAATCTAAGATATACACTAATATATACGCTAAACACTAATAATGTAAAATGATACTGTATATAATTAACAGCAGCCCGAGCATGAGTCTGTAGTGAGCAGATGGCTATGAATACAGCAGCATAAAGACAAGAGATCAGCAGCATGGATAGTCAAAGATGGGCATTCAACTTTAAATAATTGCTACATTTTTGATGTGTGATCGTTCACTGTGGCAACCTCCAAAAAGGAGCAACTGAAAGAAAAAAAATTCTAAGGCTGACCTGTCTGTAAGATAATGAAAGAGAAATAGGAACTCTGAGAACAATGTACCTTGACCATTACATTTTCATCATTTGTATAATAAATAAATAAACAAACAAACAAAAAAATATATATAGCCCACCAGTTAAGGTTTAGATGAATATAGGTGGGGTGTTTTTGCAGAGTTTTGTTTTTGAACCTCAAGGATCAGGAAGGACTTTTTAACACCTGCATTAACTTCTTGTGAGTCACAATTCTCGATATTTAGGAAGTGCATTTGGATAAGGCACTGTTTGGTCTTGTGTTCTGTGAACTGGACTAACTGAAAAGAACTTGTCTTTGTCTGACCAGGTTGAGTCAGGTCCTCTGGACAGATTCTTCTTTGATGATGCATTTCGTCTTTTATCCAAAAGACTTCTTCAGTCTGAGGCGCTGCAACAAACAGTTTTATAAAGAGGACCTGACTTAATCTTAGATTTATCTACCTGGATTATTGAGCATGCATCAGGACAACTTGCCTTTGTGTGTGTCCTTGGGCCCTTTCAAATGTGTGTGTTGTCTTGTTCTCAAACATGTAGTGTCCGAGTACCTGTCTCCATTTATGCTGCTTTTGCCGTGGAGTGATGATGTTCTCCTGCAGGGTGACTCTGTGTCCTCAGTGATCTGTCCTGCTCTGACAGCTCTTTTGTTTGGGCTGCTGCAGACGTCAGGCTCTCACCCTCACTCCAGTCTTCCTCGACCTCACACCCTCAAGTTTGTCCTTCTGTGATCCCACTCTTTACAACAACCTAACCTCCTTCTGCACACATGTGTAACCCCCCCCCCCCCCCCCACACACACACACACACACAGCTGCTGTAACATTTAACCACTTGTTTAATATTTTATCTGTGATTTGGTCTGAAATGACTTATGATGTTGTGGATGAAATTAACTGAAAATCTAGTAACAATTGCTGTATTTTCCGCCCTATAAGTCGCATCAGTCCATATTTGTCTAATAAAGTAGAAAAATCCATAAATATGTCGCTTCGCCGTATATGTCGCATCTATTATGCATCACCGCTGACGCGTGGCATTTGTTACGTCAGCGGTGACAACCCGGAAATGTGGGCTGAACCTGGAAATGTGGGCCAGTCTTGTGTCAAAAATCGATTGGCTGCCAAATAGCGGCCGCGGGAGCGTGCACGGGAGGACTTTAACAAGAATTTAACAAGATTAACGCTTAAAAACAATTATTTGTTTGCTTGAAATTATAGTAAAGGTATGTCTCAGTCTAATTTTTGCTTAATAAATTCACTTTGACGATCAAATCAGTTGTATTTCAAAAGTATTGGCTGCCTCGGTGCTCCAGGAGTGCGCAGAGGGAGGAAAACAGTGGAATGAGGAACACTGCTTGTTTATTCGAAACTTAACAAGAAAAGCACCTAAAACAATTATTAGTTTGCTTGAAATTATAGCAAAGGTGTGTCTCAATTGAACTTTTACTCAATGGTCAAATTAGCTGCATTTTGCCAGGGTGGTGCAGCTGGTTTGACGGTTGCTCCAAGCGGCAAGCAGAACAAAGGGAGGGTCTATGGCAAGCCGTTTGTGTCATTAATAGCTGGTGAAGATTCTCAGCCATCCAGGACATGGTCAATTCAAAAACGTTCAAAGACAAAAACAAAGTATAAAGTATAATAAATAAAGTCCAGTTGTTTTTGTTTTGAACTTTTTTGAATTTGTCATTATATCCACTTTTACCTATTACATGGTACAACGGCATGCCTTTCTACTACTACTACTCTGCT